ACACACTCTCTCTCTCACGCGCGCGCGCTCTCTCTCTCTCTACCTCTATCCCCCTCTCTTTCTCTCACACACACACACACACACTCTCTCTCTCACGCGCGCGCGCTCTCTCTCTCTCTACCTCTATCCGCCTCCTCCTCTCTCTCGCCTTCTCTCTCTCTTATGCCTGCTCTCTTATCGTGCGCTCCTCCTCTCACTGTATCACTACCCTCCTCTATCTCGCTCTCCTCTCATCTCCCCTCTCAATAACAATAATAATAATAATAAATAATAATCGTATAAATGAATACTATCGCGTATCAGAAAAGGAGAAGCTATGTTTGTGTATATCGCGAAACAGAGCCGTATATATAATATCTGTCGCGAAAATGACCCGCTTATATTGTATACAGCATAGATATTTGATTATCTAATCATTACACAAATCGTACTCTTACTCTTATATCTGGCAGAACTTGTTTGCCAGAACATGAGCAAATAACTCACGTGTGCGATTCACTCGCTTACGTCACGGTCTCGTCAAATTGCGCCGAACACTCGCCGTAAATCGCGCTTTATTTTACCTCGGCTTTGTTTTGAAAACTCGTGTAATTTCTCGCGGACTTGATAAAATTTTTAATTTTGCCCTCAAAATCGATATAAATTCATTTTTTTGGAAATAAATCTTTTTATATTAGTTTGTTTTGTTAATAGATGTGTTTGTTATTCTATTGCGGTCATTTTGATACCTCATTTGTTTAATTTGATCGAAAAATAACGATTTTATGATTTTTTTCACATTTTGGGTAAATTTCACTATGGCGGCCATCTTGATGACGTCATAACCGGAAGTTCGTCCCAACTTACGCAATGTTAACATTTATTTTCATGATCAGAGCCTCATGGGGCTTCAGAAAAATATTGGTTCGGAGGTTTGTGGGGGGGGGGTGCACGGTGGACCCTCCTAGCTCCCGGCCTATATGTTTCATTATGTTAGATCAGACAGTTTAAAGTACCACGACAAGTTCGAGATGTATGAAGACAAACATTGCTTTAAAATAGAGGTCACCAAGGCAACTTACTTTTTATCAATCTTTTTTGAGAAACAGGGAGGAATACATAGATACAGGAGTCTATCAATATTGATAGACTCCTGATAGATACACAACATGGAATTTCCATTGCTACCATGGTAAACTTTAAGCTATGGTGTCGCATTGCATCCAAGAGCTTTCGTTTTATCCTCACACAAGTTTACGTCTCACATCGAACATAATTACCTGGGTTGTTTTGGATAACAACTGCTGAACTTGTCCGATTTCTTGCTTACGTTTCAGACATCTGAAGATGGAGCTTATATTTCACGGCATACGGGACTGAGGTGTGGTATTCCAGATCACGTTCCGGCTCTTACTGTCAACAGGCTGTGTGGTTCTGGATTTCAGGCTATGATTACAGGTGCCCAGGTGATTACCATGTTTGATAACTCATTGTGTGTTTGCGGCTCTGGTAAAATTTTAGCCAAGATGGCAAAGTTGTGTTTTAGCTTATAATAAAAACTCGATCATAGCAACTGTATATATCTTATTATATGTCTTAATTCAAATCATATATATAACTTAAACGAATAGGTTATGGAATTCATTATCGCGCTTATAGAATGTGTGCTCATGCTACCAGCTTATAGAGATATTAGACACCAATGTAAAGTAATTTGTTTTTCATGCAGGAGATTCAACTGAAGGAGTCTGAAGTTGTCCTCACAGGTGGATCCGAAAACATGAGCAATGCACCATATGCTCTGTGGGGTGTTCGCTATGGAACTAAATTTGGTCAAGACCTAAAAGTATGTGCTTGCACTACTGAATAACAAGATTTGTTCAAAACAGGGATATAAACGAAAGATAAATCCAGCAAATTAATATATCCTAGGTGAAACTGAGTCAGAATTCAATTTTGCAACATGTATTAGAGATATTTATTGTCTTACTCCTGCTAAAGAAGTTTAGCCTTGAAAAAATACATGTAGATGTAACTTCATGATGTGAATTATGTTTTTGTTTAGTTGAAGTGCCAACTATGGGCAACTCTTACCGATCAGTACATTAAGACTCCAATGGGCATCACAGCAGAGAATCTGGCGGAGAAGTATAGCCTAACGAAGGCTGACTGTGATGCATTTGCTCTTCTGTCCCAGCAGCGTTGGAAAACAGGTGCCAAATAATAATTTTTGATGGCTTGAAGGATATACATAACGGAATTTGTGTTATGTTACGTGTCTGTTTCATCATCGTGATGCAAACCAAACAAATGGTGAAAACCTTTACAAATCTGCCAGTGTTTGTTACGTATGATTATATATAGTTTGTGCTGCATTTTGTAGAAATGCTATAAGTTGAGTAATTGAAGTTTGTTTAAGCATCATTTAAACACAAGTTCAATTGAGTAATTATATATTATATGGGTCATTCCATCGGGTTGTGGAACAGTGTGTATGCAGCGCTATATCACACCCGATGGAATGACCCATATATATATTCATTGTGTGAGCATGCATGCTTATTTATATATCATACCACATGACTGTAGTCTGTAAAACTGGTTTAACAACATATAGTATTGTGCTAGTGTACTTTGTTATGGTATGTTACTTAAATTTTCTTAAACCATGCTCCCTGATTTCTAAGTTAAACTATCACTGCGCAGCAAACACAGCTGGAGTCTTCAAGGAAGAGATCACACCCATCACAATCAAGTCTAAGAAAGGAGAGATTACCGTGGATACAGACGAGCATCCACGTGACACTAGCCTTGAGATTCTCGGCAAGCTGCCGTGTGTGTTTAAGAAGGGAGGCACGGTCAGCGCGGGAAATGCATCGGTAGGTGGGACTGGTTTAACAAGTGAACAAATTATTAGTGTCTGTTGGACAGTGAAAGATCAGATCCACTCTGTTCGATAATGATTGTTAATGCGTACTTACCTACGTTATATTGCAGGGAGTATGCGATGGAGCAGCAATGGTCCTGGTTGCTAGCGAAGATGCTGTTAAGCAACACAACCTGAAGCCATTAGCCAAACTGGTTGCTTATAGTGTTAGTGGTGAGTACAGAGAGCAAAAGAAATTTCCTGGTTGCAGATGTGATATGTACCTCACCCGTAGCTAGAGCAAGGAAGAAGGGATGTACTTTGAAGAAACGGATGCTATCGCTACTCATGTTGTTGTTCCACAGACCTTGCCACGGTGACTCGTTCGTGATTGCAAGACATTCCAATTGTCATGCAAAATCACATTATACTTTAAAAAAAGTCATCATATTTTGCTAAACACCACATGTACAGACATTTACTAATACACCAGTCACATTGGTCGTGTTGGCAAAGACACAAGAGTTTGATTTGGGAACTTCTCAGTATTTAGTAGGCACGTTTAGCCGCTAAGAAATAATTTTACGTGCGTGCGTGTGAGCGAGCATGTGCATGTATGTGTGTATGATTGAGTGTATCTGTGTTTGTGTGTGTGTATATATTTAGGGCTTGAAATTCCTGAAATGTTGGCAAGAACATATTTAATTTGATTACCAAATTCTAGTTTCTAGTAGCCAGGCTGGTTAATTAGTTCTAGTTCTGGATCAGGGGCCCGTTGTCAGAAACAAAATTAGTCTTAACATTAGTCTTAACATTAACAATTTCTCCTAGACCAGCGACATCACTTTATCGCGTTGTTTTGTTATTTGTTATAACAACTCGTATTGTTATGGGGAAATCTGCTACGATTTTCCATTCTCGTAACTTGGCAGCGTTTCTGTCAACGGTCTAAGAGAAAAAATTTATGTTAAGACTAATGTTAAGACCAATTTTGTTACTGACAATGGGCCCCTGGTTAATATGATGCACTATAATTGTATAATTAGTGTTCCCGCATGAATTGAAAAGAATTCTAACAGATTTGAAGGATGGCTAAGCCTACTACTAGTGTTATCAAATAATTAGTCCAGCTGCCTAGTGGAAAGAACATGACCTACGCACCCTCTTATTTGTATATACATATATATCTTCAGGTTGTGATCCGCACATCATGGGCATTGGACCGGTACCTGCTATACGGAACCTCCTGACAAAAACTGGGCTGGAACTGAAGGACATTGATGTCATTGAGGTAGATTAAACCTAGTCGGCTGATAGTAGCTCAACAGTGCCTGTGCATGTCATCGTGTAGGCAGTGACTGAGATGTTACTCCGGTCTCGAACGTTTTATGCTGTTTACATCATAAGGATTCCTCGAAATGCATGTGTATAAAGTCAGTGAATCTCTGAGTGCCTTAGGTGATTGTAGCTCTGCAATTATGGTTTGTGATAGTCACTTGATTTTTCTGTTCTTCGTGCCATTTTCTTCTAAAACAATGCTTAATAATTTACTCTTACAAAGCATTTCGTTATAATTGAACAAATGGGTTAATAACTTATTCATTAAATTACTTGTAGGTGAACGAGGCATTTGCACCCCAGTTCCTTTCAGTACAGAAAGAACTAGGGTTGGACATGGAAAACACCAATGTGAATGGTGGCGCCATCGCTCTTGGCCACCCGGTCGCAGCTTCAGGAGGACGTATCACTGCTAACCTCACATATGAGCTGCAGTAAGTGTTGCACTCTGTGACTGACGAAGTCTGTAAGAAGAGTAGACTGTTTTCGAGAGTTTCCTTGGTTGAACGCACGTGCACAAATTTAATACGTTATTTTGTGTAGTTGTAAAATCACTTTTTGTTACAGGAGGCGTCAAGGAAGATATGCTATTGGTTCGGCCTGCATTGGAGGTGGGCAAGGCATTGCCGTGCTGTTAGAAAGGTGTTGAACAGCCTCTGTGTCTTCTACAAAGGCTAGTGACAAGTTACACATGATCTACTCATCCGACATGAAGTTATTTCTTCTTGTTGAAAAAAATTAATGCTAGAGCCTTACGCATTTTTAACAAAGACCGCTACAGAGTGCGCAAAGCGAAATGTCGTCTTGTCTGCAGGCTGGTTTATTCATTCCAGGTTGTTCATAGTCTGAACTCGGTAGCGTGTCAATAACATGATTATCTGCAATTCATATTAGGTTGGTACGAGTTACCATTGGATCAATTGAACGTAAATTAATTCTCAATGATACCTACGTTTTCAATCTTAATAAGAGGCTAGCTAGCTTTCAGATTGTTGCAGCTGAGGTTGTTGTGCAGTCAGATCGATTGCAGCAACAGCAGATCGATTGTTGCAACAGCAGATCGATTGTTGTGCAGTCTCAGATCGTTGCAGATTGTTGGCCATTTAAATATGACACTGCTCTTCTTAACTCGACCAGGATTGAGACTAGGGCAATACCTCTTAAGTATCAGTATTCAGCATACATCCGAGTTGCATCTAGTAATAATTTTCAGGTATCTCGTTATATCAGCTCCATCGAGTGCACATGGCGATAATCTTGTAAAGCAGATGGATGCCTGACTGAATGTTTTGTGATATTTTGTACGAAATTATATTAAATTACATATATTGGTGGCGTTTATTGTAAATGGATTTTTTGTGTTATGGTTTGTGAGCATGTGGTCGTAGTGTGCGAGTGAATCTGCATGATATTAGTACGAAATGTAAACATGTGAAGATTAACAAAACTTGCAATATCCAGTATTTGTCAAAACATTAAATACTTTTATTTCCTGTTCAAAACGTCACAAATTCAGTATAAAAATTATATATATAAGCAGCTACTATAATTAAAGATTATAATAATTATGAGTCGGTTGGCTTTGTGCAGTTTGAACAATTGTTACATCTGACATTACATATTTATATAGCACACATAATATTACTATTTTAGCAACCTTTTCAAACATGTGCAGTGACAGAATAAACCAATTGCAATAATTCAAAGAACTAAACACAATAATAAAAAATTAAAGCTGGTTTGGAAAGAGCACTGTACAAAAGATTCATTTCATTTTTTCACATTTTCTTTGTCATATTGTTGTCAGTATTCATGTGATATTTTTGCTAAATCGAAATCTGGATAATGTGCTATGATTTTCCAGGCACACTAGACTGGTCTGATTCGATGTTACAAATAAACGTTGGAATTTCTATAAATTAAAGGTGCCACATTGTGAATATGACAACTGGTGACCAACCATAATTTTAGTACGTTTTATCATTTTTCTCACACAAAAGGCCATCATATACATATACTGCACTGGTGATACAGCACGAAACAACATTGGCAGCATCAGGAGCAATGTCACGAGCTGACGTCCATGTCTGCCAGAGTGCCACACCGCCGAAGCTTCTGCGGTGTTGAGGAGACAATCGGTTCCCAGTAGAAAAAAGAACCCGTGCTTGGTTCTTTTCCAGCCACCTTTTGCATGGCAAGAGACTCCAGTGGTTTGCATGCCTCCGAGGTCAGGGACTGGCGACCAGAATCCGCCTCCATCTCACTGCTGTTTGACCGATCTTCCAACAGCTGATGCTTCAGTGCGTTAGCGTGGTCGCCGGCACGCACGGCAGCGACATTTGCAATTTTCGCCTTGTTCACGGGAAGTTCGCTGAGGTTTTCCGACGGGTTACGGCCGAAGGTGTTCGACAGAAAGCCGCTCTGGTACACGGAGTCGTGATTCGTCAACTGGAGGCTGCCCGTCACGTACCCCGTGTCCTGATTCGTCGACATCAGGTGGCTGCCGGTCATGCACGCGTCGTGACTCGTCAGGTTTGTCGGCGGCTGCGACGCCGCGAGCGGGCCGGCCGCGGCGGCATCGTCGTCGCCGCGAGAGTTCTCGTCGGCGTCCATCGCGCAGATCATCGACAGCGTCAGGTTGCGGCGCGCCGTCGTCACCGTCGGCCGCTCAGTGAAGCTCGTCTCTGGCTTGCTGCTCGCACGCTCGTGGTTCACCAGGCTGTCATTGCCGTGCGCGACCCGGTCCCCGCTGCTGCCATCGCTACCGCTAAGGAAGCTGCCATACTGACCGCTATGAATGTCGGACAAGCTGCGACAGTCGACGGTGGCGTCGTCGACCGATGCGAGTCTCTGGCTCATCCTGCTGCCCGCCGATGACAACGTGGCGCCTGATGCGGCAAAAAACACCGCGATTTAACAATATAAACCCTTGAAACGTACGATGCCCGTTTTACATCAAGAAATCCCCCACAAAAAAGAAAGAAGAATATAACGATCAAGTTTACACTATATGTAGTTTGTAACTGTACAGTACTCTAGGTGTAATTAATATACAGTATTATATACGCTACCTGAAATAATAAATAACTAGATTTTGCTATGTTAAATAAATGCTTACCAATGCTTAACAACAGATGTGAGTCTCGTGTTTGATTATGTACTGCATAGCAATTTACATAGTATATACACTATATCAGTATATACAGTTTCAGTTCAGTTTTAGTTCATATGTCACGTTCCAATCAGTGTGCAATCTCTATCGGGTTTTACATAAATAAAAACACTTGAATTTATATAATGTTCAGACGAGGACATACCACTGTAATATGCGTAAAATTATGCACAAAACAAACATTAGCACTATGCATGGCATTTTGCTATACACATGTACACATTTATTTCACTATTTGGTTTGTTAGTTTCCTACGTTTAAAAGTAATGCATATTAATTCTAATTAATTCTAATTATTAATCGATTTCCAGGGCAACTTTTTCTTTTGGGGTCGCCCCCGATATCATGTTTTCGAGGGCTCTTTTTGGCATTTCGGGGGCGAAATCGCCCGCCGCCCCCATGTATTTTTTTCCCTGGCTTCCAGCGCTATCACAGTTCTCATGAAGTCACACAGGACTCATCCAGATGCAAGTTATAAAGTCGAAGGAATAGTATTTCACTTCATACTCACATTAAAGTGATTACGTCACCGTAAATAGTAAAAGTAAAAAAATCATGTCCACTTTTTCACAAAATGTAAGTAATTCTGTTCACATTATATGGTTAAACTGCTGCATTATACTTCCTATTTTACTATATTGTCCGATGTAAACATAAACTCGTGACTCATACATAGCCCATAGCAAGCAATTAATGTCAGGATCATAATGTCAAATCGTCCAGGTTTTCTGGATTTTTAACTAGTTAAGAAACAATCTTATCAGGTAAGAATTTGAAGATATATATACATTTAGTCCCGTTAGTACTTACTTTTAATGTAAAAAATGGCAACAAAAATTTTACAAATAATATACACCATAGAAAATTCGTGACGTAGTCAATTTAACTTGACCCTGCATATTAACCCTGGTACTATTGACACGCCTCGCATATTTCCTAAAACATTTGCAGCGATCTCAAAAATGAAAAAAATGAAAACTAAAATCCTGGAAATCCGCAGAAGATTCTCATTCCTGTATATATCAGTAGATATACATACCTGGAGTCTTCTCTCCTGACGCAAGGCTCCCAATCGGTGACATCTGAGGACTATTCATCTGGCTGGGGGGAGTGTCAGAGGCACGTGGCGCTACCTTGTGATGAGGGCCGACATCGAATTTTGAAAGGATTTCGGGACTATTATCACAGTCGTATTCCACCTGTATATGAAAAGCTCAAGTTAAGTAATTACCATAGCACCATATCAACACCTATAAAACACCATAGGCTCTTGCCTTGTTTGTTATTCAATAGGGCAGTAGTTGAGTTACACATTTTAACATTGTGCAGGTGTCCTCATTTGTGTATGGAGTGTGATGAACTAACCTTACCGGATGTGTACATGTGGCAACAAATTTACAATCACAGTAACAGTACAGTTCCTCAATCACTTATCTGTAATTCCAAAATGTGAAAAGCACTGACAACCAAAATATTTTTGCGGAGCGTCCTTCGTGCACATAACACAGCCCGGAGCTGTCGAACATGACCCGGCGCAGTGCACGCTTGACCCAAACAATTATGCCGCGTCAGTTGTATTGTTTTGCTTTTTAGGTATTTTGAGCTAAATTTCACTGTGAAAATTTCAAAAACATTTGCATATTCTCTTATGGATAACAGTGAGAAGAAGAAAAGGAATTAAGCATGTATTATTATCGATAGCACATAAAATGAAGTCATTGCAGAAGCTCCACAGTTGCTGCATGCTATGGAATTCTGTAACAGACTCTGCTAGGGCATTACTGTTATGTGGTAAATGTATTGTAGTACTGTTCTGAAATCCAAGCAATTTTCAAATTTTGAAACACACCTGGCTCAAGGATTTCAGGTAAGGGATTGTGGATTTGTACAAAACCATGCCACCGATGCACTAGCATCATATGTGCATTGGCAGCTAATCGATATTTGTTAGGTCATCTGGTAACCATACCGATAACACGGTATATAATATTCTGTATGAAGTGCTGCAAAATTTAATGCTGTGCATGTGTCGACAGTCATAAAGATAACTCTAGATTAAGTATTTAGTATCAACAGTTTGAAAGTGAAATAGTTTTTTAACGCATAACACCTCGCACTCGGCGCATATCACATTGGTTAGTATTGGATCTGGCTTGCACTTAGGTTTTTCAAATTTGTATGTGCCGATAGACAGCTAATTTGATGCTAATTGCACAACTGACCTGGTCACCCGTGACAAGATGCCAGCCACGGCCGGGACTGGCCACATCATCAACCTGTGCCACGTCCGAGCTGATCCCATTGGCTTCCTCGCAGAAGAACAACTTCCTGCGCAGCACAGAATTGTTCAGTGGCTCCTCCTCTTGGTAGGTATAGTAATGAGCTGCACAAAGCACAGAGATTATGACTTTATTAACAACCTGCAAGAAGCAAGGCTCAACGTGTAATGCAAACATCATGACATTATGTAATTATGATAACATGTTTTGGCTGCTGATGCACACGAAAATTGCAGGGAAAGTATGCTAGTTCATTTATCTAACTTGTTGTGTACGCACACACGCACGCACGCGCAAATGCATGCTTGAACACACACATAAATTCACGCATGTATGCTTGAACACATACACAAATTCATGCATGCATGCTCGAAAACGGACACAAATTTATGCATGCATGCTTGAACAGATACACACAACAAGTGCAAGCATGCATGTTTGAACACACACAAATGCATTCGTGAATGCTTGAACACAAAGACACATGAGTGATTATAAACGCTGTTTGTGCAGTGACGTCAACCACCTACCAAGAAGCTTCTCTAGGTTGACATTCATCGGCAACGTGAGGGTCGTCTGGCAGCTGGCTGTAATTGCAGTGTAGAATGATAATACACTCAGTAGACGAGAACATCTCAGCAGGGAACCGAATGCAAGGTGGCCATGACATCAATGACACAGTTAATTAACATTAGCATCGCAGAACGTCGTTCTACTCCAACCACACAGAAAATACTGACCGTTTACACTAACCCTGACTAGCATTTTTTGGGATCGGTAAATGAAGAAAGACCTGTTGACTAGACTCCTGAGAGATCAGCAAATCATTCTGCCCATCCCTTGGTGAAATTTCTAACACTTACATACTCACAATACATAGTGCACAGTTACGCATAGAATATGACAAATAATATACGAGTATTCATAAACAGGATTCAAAATCAAGGGCAACAATCGGCAGTTTCTCTGTTCTCAATGTTGGCAGCAGATACTTGCTGCCAAGAAATTCCTTAAAAAGTAAAAGCACCAAAGTTACAGGCAATTTCTGTTGCCATGGTGGGTAGTTGTTCAGGCATGTTTTGTTTTTTTAAATCATGTAGATCCTATGTGACCGTCCATACTTAATTTGGGGGTGGGCAACTTGGGTAAAGCATGGCATTCATATTTAGAATGAACGAACCACGGAAATAGGGCTAGGAGGCCAAACCAGCTTCCATATGAACAGAGGCAATAAGACAGTACTAGTGGGGTGGGAGGAAGTGGAACTGCTATGGGTTTTATCAGGCTTCTACTCTCTTAAAAATATCTTACCATCTTGGAGTTTCCTGGTAGCAGAGCCAGTACAGTCATCTTCTGGTGACTGATTTTTTACACTAGTATTAGGCACTGTGAAAATAAATAAATGAAAAATTAACAGAGTAAGGGTACATTAACTGTGTGATAAATCCATGTACTCAACCTATTAGCAAGTTTATAAAATTGGTTTAGTCGTGTTTGTCAACTTGAATAAAGTTGATTTCACTTGACACAAGTTAGCAGCAAATAATAAGAGCTAGAAATACAATCAGTTGGTAGTGGTCCAGTAGATGAGTCCTGACCTCTATGAGATTGTTGTAGACATGGAACTGTTTTTATGCCCCCACCGCGGGCGCGTTTTTATGCGCATTTGCAAATTTTATCTGTCTTGGCTGCAGACTAGTCAGGAACGAGATTTATGGTTGACCATGTGGCCTGTGATGGCTGACTTGAGTAGTTTGTCTGTGGTGGAGGTCAGACAGTCCCGAGTGCAACATATGTTGCCACTTCTGAATTATACCCCTTGTTCAAGTTATTGTTATTTGTAATTTTATTATCAGGCTTTCCCATATGGAGACACTGGTACAATAAGCATTACCAAGTTGGTAAACCGAGTCGAAGATATCATCACGGTCTAATTCGTTTTTCTAATTATGGCATTTTTACCTCTTGTGGGCATTTTATTCACTTTTCTTTGTCCTTTTACCTCTATAACAAGTGCCACAGAGCGACAGCGCTCACCTGACGGCAGGTGTTCTGATGCTAAACTCACTGGCAAACGAATGAAGAGGCACCCTCCAATCACCGCGTTCGTGCTCAGAGCATATATCTAGGATATTAACTAATACTAGATTCTAAAAATCTATGATAGCTAGGCTTTGCTCATAGCGCGGTAGTACCAGTAATAAATATACAGCTGTGTAACTTTAATGACTTCGCCTATATTAACATGTTATCATGGATATCGTCGAGCGCGAGCGTAGTGTGGTGGTGGGGGGGAGAGTGGGGGAGGGCGGGTGGAGGGCGTCTAATAGCAAAAGCAGTTGCCGCGAGGATGGCGCCGTGCAAGTGCATCAATAACAAAAAGATGGCATCACCCTTCGGTGCCATGATAACCTCACTCCATTGAGTTGCTGAAATCCAAGTATATTCAGGCAGGAGAAATTTCGCTCAGCTGTGAGTTAACACATCTGCATTGCAAGGTTGCCAGGCAATAATTATGATTAGAATTAGTGACGGTTCACGCCGCCATACATGCGTAATGGGCTGCCCTATGTTTTGCCTACCCACGCGAGCATTCAGGGGTTCATTACAGTGAGCTAATACAGGGTGCTACTCAGGGTGCTAAATACAGACTGCTTAGAAAATAATATGATTTAAGGAGCGTAAACCTTGTTCAACAAAACATTTGCCCTTTGCAACATTGAACTTGCAACTGTAGCCTCACATCCACAATAGCAAAAGCAGTTCAGTCCTTTGGTTAACAGTCAACAAATCCATGTTAACCCTCCTCTTGAGGGGCAAAAGGTTATCCGACACTTGCTCTTCGCAGGTCAGCAGAAAGTACATTTCATGGTCCTTTCAATAAAGCCATAAAAATGCTAGGTCACTGCCTGAACAAAAAAGTTTTCAATTGCTGCCGTCAGACCATGTCCTCAGAATATGCCTAAAATCTGCCCTGTGCCCCATTGACCTTTTGACCTCAAATTTCGGCAGCAGTGATGGCTTTTCCTACCATGATGCTATACACGCGACTATCACGAGCCTAGGGTCGAGCCGTTTAGATTTGTGCGCAATTCTGCATTTCCCTCCTATACCTTAAGTTAAGGAGGAATTGTCCCCTTCTTTACACTCTCTGACCTTTGACCTTTGACCCCAGCTTCGACATCCCAACTCGTTTTCGGATTACCCCCCCACGTCCGAATATCGAGTGACCGTACGTCGAGCGGTTAAGATTTGTGCCAACTTGGTTACGACGCCGGCTGTGACTCACGTCTCATCGCGAAATTCTACAAGCTGCATCTGACTATGTCAGATGAGCTAAAAACCCATCGAGAACTACCTTAGGTAATGAGCATATTCCTCATATTGATCCTTTCTGCTTTTTTATCTTCCTCGTCTGGGACAACAGAGATGGCCTTTGTCATTAATGCCTGCACAACTTCTAATAATTATGTGAACTATCGGATAGCATGCCGTGCACAGCTGATTGCTCTTGCTCTTGTCACCTGTTGCCATCTGGTGACAAGCTCTAGAAAACTTTCATTCTGATTGACAAGGATAGCAAGACCAGGTGTAGAAACTGTTGGTAACACGTTAAATACATGGATCTATCATAAAATAAATGTACCTGAATATAAACACAAAATCTGATTAACATATTTCAGAGTATATATTCTCCACTGCAAATATATTCTTCACAAAATTCTTATGGACTGATGACAGAATGTGTATGACACACACTAACCGCACTCATTCCTTGCAGTCACGATCGCAGCAGTCCTTTCAATGGCCACCGGTCCGACTGGCTGGTTGTTTGGGGATGGTGATGCTGCTAGCTGCGTGTGGGCATGCCGAAGAAAGTATTCGTCTATAGCACTCTGGAATTTGCTCTCCGTTTCATGGTCTAAGCTATTTAATGGAGAACAGCATAAAGAAATGGTATTTAAATCTGAAATGTACACGGCAGTGTTTCTTACATCAGTGTCTTCTGTTAGTCCAACAGTGTCATGTTTACACATAAACGCAACATAACACATGGAACTCTGGCACACCTGTTGTAAAATAAAGATAGACATATCTGAACAGATGGCTTTGTCCAGCACAACAGGTTGTGTTTACATTAAATTCGCTCTGCTGATACTACTCGATGACCTGTTAGCAATGATTAGCTTCGACTTCTGTTTATCTCATCGGGTTCTTTCTAATTTGCCCAATTTTTAATAGATAACGCCAAAGCTTTGCGAAGACTATGTACATCATAAAGTGGTTGCTTACAAATGGTGCTGGGCCTGTTGCTGTGCATGATCACGTTCATCCATCTCTACCGGCTGCAGTACAGCGAGCTCATCGATCGTCCAGAAAAAACCCCTCTCCTGTCACAAACAGTTTACACATGCATGTGACACACACATATAGGCAATCGAAGGTGATTTGGATGACAAATGACACACGTTGTGTTGGATTTCTTCATAGTTAACATCAATCAAATGACTTTATCAACCTACTCCTACTGTATGTACTTATTAGAATAAAGCAAAATTCAATTATTACTCGTAACCGTTCCATTGTTTCATATTTGGAATTCTGACACAGATTTTTCTAGCAAACAACTGTTAGACACAGTGACATGTAGGTATGTACAGTTATCTTGAAATTAATAACACTTTTATTTACCAATAACAATTAATTACAACAATTAATTACAACAATTAATAATAATTACAACAATTAATAACAATTTAAATCCCATTTATTTATTGGCCCAAAGTGCACAGTCTAGACTTCCAGCATGACAGTTACAAACAATTACCTCTTTGTTTGGCGTTGGCACATTTTGAAAGACGGAGGGACTGAATGAGGGTGCTTGCAAGCGATCCATGAGTCCAATCTCAAATGGATTGATGCGCGGACCTGATGGAGTTTTTAACATTGATGATCCTGAAGATGATGGGTTGATGCGAGACCCTGACGGCGTTTTCGACGTTGATGACCCACTTGAACTGCTATAAGTCAGGTGTTTGAGCGGAGTTCCAGTATGGTACACTGATCCACCAGTACTGCTTTCTAGATAAAACAGTATGAACGCATTACATAAGCAAGATCTGGGTCTCATTGTCAGACACATCGCAATGTTACGACGATCATTAGTAAAATGATAATTCACACAACCAATCAGTCTCCATCCTCACACTATGTAATGGCAAAGGAAAGTTCATATCTATTACACCATGAAAAAGTGTCGTGCAATGATACAACATCGTGAATTTTTAATCCATTTGTATTCTGAAACTGCCATATCTCATTGCAATACCATTAGCAGCCAAGTGAAACTCTACCTTTTGGGAAAACCTATCATACTATAGCATCTATATCTGATGTCAGTTGTCAGGAGCATTTTAGTTGTGAAGTATCATAATTGCAACTTTTTTGAACATCGTAGTTGCGAAAAAGGAAAGATCCTAGCGAATTTTCTCTACAAGATATACACACAATGCTCTTTATTTTGCCTGAAAAACATGGCAGGATTGGCCCCAGACCTTTAACACATGACGGGTCCGACATGGCTTCAAAGCTGAAGCTAATCTGTGACATCCCATAAATCCTCTGACATGCCTTTATTCCCTAATCGACCTGAATTAATTTCCCAGCTGTGTTTACTTTTGACAATTCCAATATAGTCATGCTGTGTTTTCACATTTTGATGTATACATCTTTGAATTAATCAAGTTTACCTGTGTATTGGGGCTACTTATGACACAGGTAACTGACTCCAATTGGTACAATCTGCTCTCGGGACCTGCCCTATCTGTCAATAAACGACGTGCCTTATGAAATTCCTTGGGACAGTCCTGAACAAGAACTTGGTAATTTGCTGTCAAAAAGCAGTAGCACATAATGTTTGCAGCGAGAACTACTGGATTCCATGCAAGGTTCTCCTCAGGAATTTCAGAATGCACATCGTGAATGAACGTTCTCAATTCTCATGCTATGCACATTTCTTACTTTTAATGTGCTTTTGCCATCGGTATAACATGTGACTAAACACTCACCATACGGACTCTTAGACAGTGAAAACGTTGAAGGTGTTTTCGAGGTGCCCGCATTAGTGCGCGGGCTCCTGTGGATGACTAGTGTAGAATTTGGAGTTTTAAACACATGCCAAGGACTGTCACTGCTCGGGCAGACAGACTTAACAAAGGCATTGTGATCCATGGGAGATTTGTTCATCTGAACAGCTCTTCTAATTTCCTCAGGTTCAGGCTCCATGACTGAGCAGAGCTCTCCATATGGCTGGCTCATTCTATTCCGACTAGTTGCAAGTGATCAGCAACAATTTATACATGATGTGCAGCATTGGCAGACCACGCAGACCATCATCACAAGTTGCAATGTGTTATTGTTGCACAACCTGTAAAATATAATCATAATATAGATATACTAGTATAGTAATATAGTCTAGTAAAATAGTATACTCTTAGTCTAGACTATATGATTATATGAATATATAATTATGGCAATCTGAATCCTGAGAGTGATAATATGACATTGGTTTTCTCATAGATATATACAAACACATTGTGTTAGTAATAGTATATCTACAAATATCATCCATACCATTTACACATGTCGCACATTGCAAAAATTAATTGTGGTCAGCGCTTATATCCATGAACCGACAGATGTGCCATACATAATCCGGACCGTACATTGACGAATCATTATTATTCATTAATAATTGCACGTACACAGTGTCAACTTCTACTTAGAACTACGTTTATACTGGACAGTCCGCAAAAATTCATGCAAAAGAAAAAAACCGAAAAAAAGCAGCCCGCGACACCCCTGTTACCCACGTCCATGGCTGAGCACATCGTGGCTCGTGCTTGCTGGCTGGGGCTGCATTGCTTGAAGTACGCGGGGGGGGGGGAATGCACGTACTGCTTGTTACAGTCGCGTGGGCATGCTTATTACTGTATATGTAGGGGTGGGCACCGCTAGTATGAGGGAGCGACAGCAAAACTTTCCCGGAATCGAGGAAAAAGCTGCAATCGGGAATGACACAGGAGTGTGCCGGCCGGTACGCAAAAAGAGACGTTGCTGTGAATTTCATTACGATTTTCCATCTATATACTATAGTCAGAAGCATGTGGTGATCTATTTATTTTTGGATTGACACTATTTTGACAACGGTGGGTAAATACAGGAACATTTTCAAATCGGAGTTGTTCAATATGACAGCGGCGGTGCGCCGCAGTGCCTCCTATATGTAGTATGTTTTTGGCAGAGAGATGCGGCCAGTGAACTGCTGAGTGCTATTCTATTTTTGCTATTGCTTATCTATTTCTATGTGCCGCGGCATTAGCTCTAGTACTATAGCCCGCGTTCATTAACTGCCGCAGGCCCCGCATTAGCCCTGCGGCAGTTAATGAACGCGGGCTTTGCCTTTTTGGTGAGGAAGGTTGGAATTGCAAGTTCAAAGCTAGCCCGACCAGGCTGTGCGACGGATTGCTAGGTATTCTAACCCTAGCAATACCGTTTCTTGGAGCTAGTTCAAAGCGAGTGATAGCAAAACAAAAACAGTCAGTAGTAATAATACTAGCAAGCACAAGTAGGTACTATTAAGCAAATGTACCTGAGAACAAAATATACAAATATTGTATATTATACCAGTGATACCACACCGTAGAATAGAATAGCTTGATATTGACAATAATGATGATCTCAGAAATGAAAGTACTCGATAGTTTCAAACTTTCCCACGTTGATGCAGCGCCACCACGGTGTATTGGGCCCTTCTAAACACCGAAATGATTCGAAATGACTAAAAATGCTCCTAGTTAACTCTCGAAATGACACAAAATGACTCGAAATGTTTTGAAATGACTCAAAATGCACCATCCAAATGTGTAAAGTCGTTTCATTTCGAATCATTTTAGTCAATTCGAGATATTTTGGGTCATTTTGAGTCCTTCCGGTGTTTAGGAGGACCAGAGATTACAAAAGGCCAGATAGATGGCGCACTAGTCATGTGCATTTGTTTTTACGAGAAATGAGGATACATGTTATTTTCGGAGATACACAAATTATTATAACTGTTATTACCCACGCGGCCGCTAACTCGGCCTGATTGTGCATGTTTTAAACCACATCCGATACGGTAACTAGTTCTTATGTTTATTCGTCTTCGTTTAATATAAAAGTAAGTGAAACGTGTACCCAACGCAACGGCAACGAGGGTCGAGGCTGTACCGTGTAGTGTACGACCACAGGCACTTGGGCCGTTTCAATAATAAAATGATGGTTAATAAATACAACTTGTCAGTACTAGACCTACCAGTACCAGTACCAGTAATAGTCTTAATATTTGATTTGACCTAACCACTTCACTTAAATACCGTCCAATACACCGCTGCAACACAGCGCGCACTACGCACAGAAATTCCAGAACGCTCAAATCTTTTCACAACACTAGCAGGGGTCGAAATTAGATTTTTCCCGATATCCGCGGGATACCACATTCTTGTGCGGGATACCAGATTTCAA